TTCCACGGTGAAGGGATAACATCGTATAATAAAAATCAAACCCCCAAAATTATAATTAGCGTGGTAGAACCTCATATGAGTTAGCACGGGTAGGTACCACCACCCCGTCTATTTCTGCCGTGAAGCAGCAATGCGTTTCGGTTTGGAGGTTGAGGCAGCCGTTGTAACTATACTGAGACCTTAAAACTTATATCTCAAGGTGGGTGGTTGTAAATGTCTATGGGCTCCAGTAACCACTTAACACCAGGTGGGCTGTGAGATCGTCCACCCATCTAAGCAATAAATAAATAAAAGTTTTTTTTTTATGTTTAATTATCTCCACAAATAGTCAAATTAATTCGTTTCAAATTAATCTAGAGATTGCGTCGCGGTAAACACAACGCCAATCAACAAGACGAATCCGATAGAGGATGTCACCGACAAACTATGAACAGAAATGTTAATTAAAACATATTTTCCCAAATCATCACTAGTAATAAATATCGTCGTAGTTTCAATATATTTCGGCCAAGGTGCATTCACAACAGCACAATGGTGGGAAACTCCCAAACAGAGCTTTAGGCTCTTCATCGAGCCGTCAGCGAAGGAAATATGTGGTGCAAACGACAAGAGTTAGCGGGAGCTAATTAAAATTCTAAATTCGATATGACTTTAGCTATATTTCGCATACCCATGACAAAATTTAATATTTTACAATCAGCATACTGTTAAGGCTACAGAGCAAAAGAAATGCTACACGGCTTTTGAAGTCAGCTCAGACATTTTTAGGCTAGCTTTTAGGTAATGCTGATTCAGACTTCTATGCCACATGTCTCTCAAGGACCGGAGTTCTGGTTTTTGTTTTTTGATCTTGGTTTTTACGGCACAACGACTGCTCCACCCTTCAAACCGAAACGCATTGCTGCTTCACGGCAGAAATAGGTAAGTTTACTTACCCGTGCAGAGCTACCACCAGAGAATTTGTTCCTCTGCTATTCAATCATGACTTCGTATCAGTCTACGGAATAAAAAAATACGACCGAGCTACGCGAAATAGGCGTTTAGAAAGTTAACCAATTTCGGGCTATGGTACTAGTTAAGTATGGTATGGTAAGTATGGTAAAGGTACTAGTAACCGATTTAATTGTTCGGGTACGCTAAATAAAACTTTGTTTTATGAATCTACCAAAAAACAATTAAATACTATGCAGTTTATTTAAAAAGAAAAATAAAATTGATTGTCTGTAAATTCGGTTTAGGGTCGCTTTCGATAGTTTTACGTGATAACATCTTAAAGAAAAATTGATAAGAAAGGCATACTTTTATCAATTGAATTGAATTATTATCAATTTATAAGTTAAACAATTAGATATAATGATTTATTTTATTTATTTATATATTTATTTATTTATTAGGCACGCAACAACACATTACAAGCTAAACAATAAAAGATACACAATAAAAAGCAACAAGTAAAAAATTTTCATTATGTTATATATACAAAGGAGGAATTAATTGAAAATTAAAAAAAATCGATAAATTAATGCTTGGACCAATCGTGTCTCTCTATGGCTTGTTCCGCGCTCTCGCTTGCACGCTCAGGCTCAGGCGGAACGTGACACTTTTTCGTGCGTGCAGCCGGCGTTCATCGATTTATAAAATTTTATCACGTCAAAATAGTCAAACTTATGAGCAACGACGAAATCAATTATCAACTTCACTAAACTAACTGCTTTACGTTATTAAGAAAGAAACTCTTTAACTTTTTTTTTATTCCTTAGATTGGTGGACGAGCTCACGGCCCACCTGGTGTTAAGCGGTTACCGGAGCCCATAGTCATCTACAACGTAAATTCCGCCACATACTTTTTTTTATTGCCCTTGTAGGCAGACGAGCGCACGGCCCACCTAATGATGAGTGGTTACCGTCGCCCATGGACTTCAGCAATGCCAGGGGCAGAGCCAAGCCGCTGCCTACCACTTAACACTCTACTTTGAGATATAAGTTCTACGGTCTCAGTATAGCATCCACAAATTCATTTGATCGCTTTCAGTTTATAACTCGAACCGGATGTCGGATGGTGGACACTAGTTGAGACCTTGCGACGGGACTATCTCGCGTTTAGAAGGGAAGGAACGGCCGGACCTTGTCCGGAGGCTCGTTTCCGAAACGAACGTATTTTGAAAGTGACTTGTGATTGTTATTTAACAACGTGCATGCTCTTGCCAGTTTGAGATCGTAAAATCGCTGTAAAGAACATCTCCGAACGAAGCAAATATCAAATATTATGTAGTAATTTTTTTTTTTTTTTTTTTAAATCTAAGCAAACAAGTGCAGCTCTTTCCATACCTATTCGCCGATAGCTATTCGCCTAGCTAGAACTAGCCCATAAACAGAACTCACTGAGGTTCTCCTTAGATCTTCTCAGTGGGCCGGGATTCCCATCAGGCGGCAGTTTCAGCCAAGCACTGCTAGGGTTACTGTTAGCAAATTCTCTCAGATTGTATTGTGAGCTCACCTACACGTCCGCGCGAATCTGAAATAACCTTATAGATTACCAATGAAATAGGTAGAAAAAATATTCCTATTGCCATTAGCGGTATCTTCCAGGCTTTGTATGCAACACTAGCTCTTTTGCGATAATAATTTAGGCATGTTACATGTTCAACTAGTTCTTCTAATTACAGATATTTGGCTTCTGGTTCTACTGATTCAGCTCTCTGATCTATTAAGGTAATAATAAAAAATAATCGTAGGTATGTAATTGATTTAAGGAAAATGATTACCTAACTGCGTCAAAATTTAAGTAGATACTTATTAAGTATATCGTCGTTGTCAAACCAAAATCTGCTATGTGCACTCTTTGAAATGTTTACTTTTTGACCATTTCTTTTTTATTTACTAAATATCACTTACGTTTCAATTTTCTTTACAACTTTCCTAGATAAAACTCTTAAAAATGTAATTGAAATAGACTCCTCAATATACAGATAAATAATAAAAATATATTATTTACTGCGTGCAACGAAACGACTGATGCGTTAAAAAAAACACCGAACGCGTTCTATTTTTAAACATAAAAAAATTTCTGCTGACATTATTACACGCAGCTCATTTAAATGGAAGACGCGTTCGAAACTTGAATAGCATGACAATTCTCAATTCAAATAGGCCGCAAAGTTCAATGCACATGCGATATAGAGTATACACCTGCCAACTGAAGAAGGTCTTTTAATTCGTTGCCAATAAACAGCACACGGTGCGTTCTGAATGTGGTTAGTCTTATGCCGGTTCATCACATTCGCGTAATTCACTATTTAAATAAAATTGAAGACTGTTCTGTTAAAATTTAGGATACATTAATAAAAGTTTACGTTTTAATTTTAAATATATTTTATTACCCTTGCTATTTATCTCCAATACTTGGGACCGTTTTTCATTATATACCATTTTATTTATTTTAAACTGGATACATACCTATAGGACGATGATTAACAGAATCTTAAGACCAAAGGAAAGATATTGCATTTCTCTTACGACATGATTGAGTGTAAATCAGTTTTAATTTCAATGTAGAAAAAGGAAGGTACTACCGCCCTGCCTATCTCTGCCGTGAAGCAGTAATGCGTTTCGGTTTGAAGGGTGGGGCAGCCATTGTAACTATACTGAGACCTTATAGCTCATATCTCATAGCTCATATCTCAAGGTGGTTGGCGCATTTACGTTGTTGATGTCTATGGGCTCCAGTAACCACTTAACATCAGGTGGGCTGTGAGCTCGTCCATTCACTTGAGCAATAAAAAAAAAGAGTAATGGTAAATAGCGAACTTCAATTCTATATATTGGACTGCGACAATGGAGGTTAGTTTGTATCAGCCAATAATACTAATCATTCATTAAATATGAGGTATTTTACCAGATCAAGCGAAATAGAGCGTTGAGGTTCTCGACATTTATTATACTCGTAGTTGCATGAATTGTAATTATGACGGACAACAATTTTAAGGAATTATAAAAATTACTTTAACGGTTTTTTTATCTTTTCTTTTATTATTTCCATTGTTTCGATAACCATACAGTTTTCGTGATCACAAACGACAAGCAATGAACACGAGATTAAAACGTAAAAGTAGTTTGAATTACGCATACGACCCGAGAAAACTTGAGAAAATACATATGTAAAGAAAAACCTGTTTAGTCATAAAAAGATTTTTCTTAGATCAGTTTACTAACTTGTCATTCAATAAAGAGAATAATGCAAACTCAATTTATATGTTTAATTGTTTAAATAGAGATATTAAGAGCTTTATACTAAGTAATGTATTCTCAATTTGACCACAGACTTTAACAATAAACAACAGTATATATGCGTGTGTGTGTCAACTACATGGTAGTTGTGTATTTTTTTATTTATTGATTTAATGTACTTATAGGCGTAATTTAAAAACAATATTAGCATTTTTACTGGTGGTAGGACCTCTTGTGAGTCCGCGCGGGTGGATACCACCACCCTGCTTATTTCTGCCGTGAAGCAGTAACGCGTTTCGGTTTGAAGGGTGGGGCAGCCGTTGTAACTATACTGAGACCTTAGAACTTATATCTCAGGGTGGGTGGCGCATTTGCGTGATGTCTATGGGCTCCAGTAACTACTTAACACCAGGTGGGCTGTGAGCTCGTCCACCCATCTAAGCAATAAAAAAAAAAGATCATAAAACCTATATCTCAAGGTGGATGGTGCATTTACGTTGTAGATATCTATGGGCTCCGGTAACCACTTAACACCAGGTGGGCTGTGAGCTCGTCCACCCATCTAAGCAATAAAAAAAAACTGCACTCCTCTTTATTGTCTTATAAGCGTGAAATTTCATACTCCTCCTTCGTAAAAAGGAGTACAAAGTTTTTGCTTCACTTATTAATATATAGATCTTAAATTAATACGAACGCACATGTGCGCGACCGGCACATAGCGAAACAAGAGTGGTGAGGTTCTAGACGCTACATTCACCTGCGCGGACGACGATGCCGCAGTCGAACTATGCTAACTGACGCCGTCGCTAACGTCCTCAAACGCGTTTGTAATATCGAACACTAATAACATTTTCGACGAGTGTGTGTTGCCTGTTTCGAACTAAATTTTGTGAGTACTGCATTTTATTTTTTATTTTTTTTCCTTCCAGAATGTGGTCTTGAGTTAAATAAAAAATATTTCGCTGCCTTTAAAAAAAATTTATATTGTATTCTGTGTCCGATTCGTTTACAATGATCGAATTCTAAATTTAAAAATATTTTAAGATTTGATTATGGAATTTAAAAGGATTAAAAATATTCGATGCGTGTTAGATTTAGGTAATAAAATGTTAAAGTTAGTTTTGTAAGAACAATATTGAATATATTTTATTACATATTATTAGGTATGTAACTTATACCGGTTTTTTTAGAATGTGGTAAGCAGGTCATTGGTATTTGTTTGTTTTTCACGATGCAACCGTATTATGTCATAAGATGTGCGGGTAAAGGCGAGGCAGTGAAAGTTGTAGCGGATATGAATGGGGAAGTCGGATCTATTCGTCCAGTCAGTTTCCTTATAGCGACCATCTTGGAAAAGAAATGAGTGAACGCTTAAAATACACACTCGCCTTTTTTGAACTAGGTATAATCATTGGGAAATACGTAATTTAAATTATAAAATAATTTAATTTTGGAGCTAAAGCTTGCCGTTATTGATGTGTTTTATTTTATAATTTTATTTTTAAAACTCTAGATGAAAATATCGTTATAATTAATTATCTATGACCAAGATGACATAAAACTGTTTTATTAATCGCTTTCTACTTATATAAATGGTCTTGTACCAAAAAAAAAACATGGATATGATAATAGAGAAAAATTACATCTTCAGTACAAAAACCGGTGTATCCTGTATCGAAATGTTAACATCGATATATGGTAGTAATTTTTTTTAAAGGATTTTATGGCCTGGTAACTAAGACCTTTAAGTCATGTCTTATTTTAATTTATATTCTTATTTTTATGAAAAATGATATTATGGAGTGAAATGAAATGAAGATGATTAATTTGAGACATTAATCAACTGGGATGAAATTAAATGAAATGAGATGATATGGGATGAAATATAATCTCAGTAAAATGGTGGTCATTTACTAAGATTTTTTCAGTGGACTTTTTGGAAGATCCCGAGAAATTACGTCCAGCGCTTTGTTTCAGTTTCCCACATTTGTGCACTTTCACAGGTATTAAACGGTTAATAAACCACCATTATTACACATTTAAACCCGAAGAAACACTAAATAGACAAAATAAAACAAATCACACAACTTCACTCCTCGCGTTCCCGCCAAAATTCCATGTTGTAGTAAGAAGATAAACTGCCACAGATCAACGGTCAATTATTGTTTTTTTTTTGTCTGGTTTTTTGTCTTTCAAGATAAGGTTTTTGTATTAACAAATTATTATTCAATTATTATAATCAATTCAAATTATTATAATCAAGATAAGGTTTTTGTATTAACAATTTATGTATTAACAAAAACCTTATCTTGAATCCTACATCATCTAATAATCCAATAACTGGAAAACCTAATATATATTATATAAATTAAACTTCTTTTACAGTTTAATACAACCTAACTAAAATCTGAAATGTTTACAATTTAATAGCTATTTTACAAATCGTCGTGGCCTAAAGACTGTCGTCGTGACCTAAAGTATAAGACGTCCGGTGCATTCGTATGTAGCGATGCACCGGTTTTCGAATCCCGCAGGTGGGTACCAATTTTTCTAATGAAATACGTACTCAACAAAGTTTCACGATTGACTTCCACAGTGAAGGAATAACATCGTGTAATAAAAATCCAACCCGCAACATTATAATTTGCGTTATCACTAGTGGTAGGACCTCTTGAGAGTCCGCACGGGTAGGTACCATCACCCCGCCTCATTCCGCCGTGAAGCTGTAATGCGTTTCGGTTCGAAGGGTGGGGTATCCGTTGTAACTATACTGAGACCTTAGAACTTATATCTCGAGATGGTTGGCACATTTACTTTGTAGATGGCTATGGGTTCCAGTAACCCCTTAACACCAGGTGGGCTGTGAGCTCGTCCACCCATCTAAGCAATAAAAAAAATTACTTACTATACAACAAAGCATTTTCATTCAAGCATTTATTAATGTCTAATTTCAATATTTTTTTTCTATATTCGCGAACCTTCAACTCTTTCTATAGAATTTTGTTTATTCGGTGGCCTTTAAGTGGAAGTCTTCGAATGCTTCAAGGAAATTTTTTCATGATTTAGTGGCTGAAAACAAATCAGTCAAAATGGAATGGACCCTTTTAGTTTGATCGATGCGATGGAACAAAAATCTACTTTATATGGTAAACTGCGATGCGTTATACAAAAATATGCGTATTTGTAGGGGGTTGATAGCCAATGTTTTTTGCCTTTTGCATCCTCAACTATAGATATTTGGAGAGTGTTTTGTTTTTTTTAAATTTTTTTTTTTTTTTTTAATAAATATTTACTAACAATCACGCCACGTTAACTGGTCCCATGATAAGTTCGTAAAGAACTTGTGTTACAGGTACCAGATAACATATACATCCATAACCCTGGAAAAGACATTTATATTTATCATACAAATATCTTCCCTTGGCGGGATTCGAACCCGCGACCCCCTTGCGTAGTGACCATGTCACTTACCACTACACCAGACGGCCGTTGTTATGATTGCTATTGCATTTCAGAACAAAAATGTGACCTTTTACTTAATTATCACACAGTAATTGTAAAGGTCTTTTGTTTTTCCTTCTCACAACACCTGTAGACCGGAATTACATAGCTTACCGTGTCCCTTAAGATATGTTACCAGCGCGCTCAGTCTATTTCTACTATACTGAGTAACTCCCGGATTTACCGGACATCGAATCCTTTTAGTAGCTTTTGTTTGCTTAAATAAGTGGACGATCTCACGGTCTATCTATTCCTAAGTAGTTACCGGAACCCATAGACAACGTATGCTGTCACCCACCTTGAGACATGACTTCTAATTCTCAGTTTTATAAAGCAACGGGACCCTTCAAACCAAAACCCTACCACCAGTAATTGGTTTCCCCATATTTTATTCTTTAAGATCATGTTCGGCCCTGACTGATTGCTGGCCTCTGTAATCACCGCAATTTTTGACTGCATATAAAAATACTTACACATTAAGAGAGTATGTTGTGCGCATGAATATTTAGTACACCCGAGCGTGCATTGTGTATAAATCTCGATGATATTAATCGAGTTCTGTGACCCAAGGCTGTTCACACGGCTCCGTGTCCTGGTGAGTCTGTGTCAGTTAACAATATGGCCTCGAATGCGACTCCTCCGAAACGGGTCGTCACCTATAATAGGGTTACCGTGTTTTTGTGTCTGAAGTTTTATTAGTAATATAAATAGTAGTAATTTATATAATACTATATTTATATATAGTACGATATAGACTTTAATTTCTCGTTTTTATATCCTTCTTGTTTAAAATACACGAGTACTCGTGATGACAGATAGTTAATGTATCGTATCGTAATTTAAATTCAATAAAATCAGACGATTCAGTGTATCCTGTAAGATCTGTAACGGAAACAATTCTCAAGTAATAATTTTATGAGTATGCGTTTTATAATACGTTTATGTGCCTAAATTTATATTCAAAATGCAAATAATTAAAACAAAATGCTTTCGTTTGAAATGTTTAATCAATATATAGTAAGCATTGGTATCAAAACCACGAGTCTTGTATAGGTTTAACTTATTCATACCTTTAATTTGAAACATATAATATTGTAAAACCGACAATACACGTAATGACCCTCCAATGGCGACATTATTACTAACCTTCAAAGGTTAATAAAAATAACATTCTTGTTTTTCAAAGTGCTCATGATGCTGTTTTCTAGAACACACGATATCTTATACCTTTAAACGAGCAATTCGTGTATATTAATATATATGTATATAATCTGATTCTCAGAAACGGCTCCAACGATTTTCATGAAATTTAGTATACAGAGGATTTCGGGGGCGATAAATCGATCTAGCTAATAATTTTCAGAAAATGTTGTTTTATTCGTGTTTTCAATAATCAACTCTTCCCGACATCTATTGGCGAATAATAATACTATTTTTCTTAATTGAGGGTAACTAACCGCTTTAAAGACACAACAAGATGGCGTTATCAAAAAAAAAACCCAGCAAAGCTCGTCATCATCTAGTTATTATTATACACATCATTTGCAATGACTGATTCCGCAACACCAAACAATAATATGCACTTTAATTAAGACCAGGGTTGCGGTTTAATTTCGCGTATGTTTTTATCGTTTTATTATTTTCCGACCTATCGAATGTTTTAGTTTTCGTGGTCACGAATATTGTACGAAATTTTCCGTGAATTCATCGTTTCTTTCAAAAATAAATCGAAAAAAATACTAATTTGCACTTTATTAATTACCGCATTTTATTAATTACCGAATTCACTAAGCTCGCTTGATTGAGTCAATAACTGACTTAAACGAATCACGAAATAGTAACGACATAATTACATACGTAGTTCAGACGTTAAAAAGTAATCAGAAAAACAATCCATCAAACAGTTATTATTCCATGGATTTGGTAATAAAAAGTATCGATAAAATTTCATTGGCAGAATCATCTCGGCAACCTTGCAACACTGTTAACGTAATTCCTCAGTAAAGTGCCGCGGAAAGGTCAGGGAAGGGCCGAAGTTGTACTTGTTTTTCCATAACAATATCTTCGGGAGTAAGTGCGCGAAATATGTTTTTTGTTTATTTTGAAGCCTTCGCATATATCATGTAGTGGTTTGGGAAATATATTTGTTCTATTATTGTTATCGTTTTATTGTATTGTGATGACAATGTTATTTTAAATATTGCTGTTCTATGCTTGAATTGATGGATGTGTCGCCTAAAATAGCACTGACTCATCTCTCTCCGTGGCCTTCACAAAGGCGATTCTGGGATTCGCCGGATAGCAGGGATCTAGTATCATACAAAAGTATCTAGTATTATACAATCGGCTAGTGGAATTTACTATTGGTAGTAATTCTGCGAGTTGGTA